CCCCCCCCCCCCGAGAAAGTCATCTCAGCACTGAGACTGTATTCACAGACACACGCAAACTAGCATCAAGGACTTCTGTTTGGTGACCGCCCACTCTTCCCCAGTTGCTACTTTGTAGAAGCACCAAGGGCATTTTAAGAAGACTCCAGCCTTAGGCCCAGCTGTCAGCGGGTACTTTGCTTTCATGGTCAAAAGAGCAGGAGGTTGTCCTTTACTCCCTGCCCCCTGCAAAGCAGGTCCTGACCCACGTCCTAAGGGGTTAGACTGAGCGAGACAAGGCCACACAGCATTCACACCAGGCCACAGCACAGAGCGGCATTCTCAGTTAGCAAACCTGCTCCCCCTGGCCAGGAGGAAAGTGCCCCCAACAACAGGGGATAACACCAGGAAATGCAAGGGAGGGAACATTCCAGGGTGAAATTTAAATTTAAAAAAAAGGTAAAAAGAAAGAGGGAAAAAAGAGAAAATGCACAAAGCCCATGAGGCTGTCTGGTTAACCAGGGGTTAGACTGAGGTTTGGAAAATCACACATAACAGCATCTTGGCAAATCCAAAGACCCGGGGGTGAAAGACACGTGGATGAAAGGCATTTCTATTTGTGGAAACAGGATGTTTCCTTCTTTTATCACTTATTCTTATTTTTAAATTTTAAAAAATCTATTTGTAACCCAAATTTGGACCATCAATCATTTTTACCTGCCCAGCATTTCATCCTTCCAGAGTCAAAAGAGCAACAAAGGTGGGGTCCAAAGACCCCTTTCCCACAGCCAATTCCAATCAGCCCTTCTCTCCCGGGGTTACCGGTGCTCAGAGCAGACATTCCCAGCAGGCATGCCACACACAGCAAGTCGCCAAACCAGACTGCGCCAAAGGGCTTCCAGGGGACTTACTTGTACTTGTGCTGGTTCCGATCGTATTGATTGTGGTGGGGACGGATGAGGAGGAGTAGAGGGGCACATGGCCGTTCTCACACCCCAGACTTTTGTCCTGCCAGTTGGAGGCGTTGATGCAAATCCCAGAATCCCGAGAGTTCTGCCACCCATTGAGCTTGTCGTCGGAGTTCTGTCTTTGGTGATAGTAGTGCGTCTGCCCATAATCCACAGAGTCCGAGCGGCCTCGGTTCTGGCCACCGAAGCTGGTTGACGTGCGGTCCTCCAAGTGATTCAGCCACATGGCTAAAGCACTGCGGTCTTCCAAGGAGGTGGCCGGATGTATCAAAGCATAGGACAGCAGCTGCCTGCTCTCCTCGATGTGCTGGTTGTGTTCAATAGAGTGCGCCAGGATTTTGGGCAGCAGTTTCATATACTCTACTTTTGCGTCGAGGTTTCCTGGCTTCAGCAAAGGCAGGTGAGTTAACAGGAGGGAAATCACTTTATCCTTGGATTCCTGTTGCCATTGGTTAATGATTCCTGGAAAGAAAAATATACAGGGCAAATAAGTAAACACAGCCACAATGACACAGAACACCACACTGTAAAGAGAATGCCTGTGGATTAGCGTCCCAGTCTATGTACCCTGGCTAAATTCTCTCAAAACAGCCCCTGCATCGGATTGGAAAACTGACCTCAGGTTGTCAGGGGGCAGTGACTTCAGTGAAACACGGGGCAAACGTTCTTAGATGTGTGGGTCCTCAGTCTAATTCTCATTTCGGTCTCCAAAGAGGCTACAACTACAGAATTACAGTACTGTTTTTTTCGTGCTTATGTGTATTTTTTCTTAGAAAAGCCTAGCCACATCCTCAGATAGACGGGGGAGGGGGAGCTAGGAGAAGAAAATCTCTATAAAAAGCAAGTATAATCAAGGATCCATATACCTGAGCCCGTGAGGACAAGCTTGCTTCCCACCCCCACCCCCAGCTCCAGACATCTGTGGAAAAGTGGTTTGAGACCTGGGAAAAGCATTTGTGTGAAGTTGGTAGAACTTCTTAGATTGAGAACCTGTCAAGAAAAGAAAAAGGACTCCCCTCACCCTCGTGAAGTCAGCCTGTACCTTGCGTACGAGAAGCTGACTCAGAAAACGACTGTGAGCTCAAGTCTCAAAGGAGCAATGGACCCGAGGCCCGCCTCTGACCACGCGCGGAAGCAAGCTCTTTTTCTCTAGGTACACAAGATCTGTTTGGTTATTTCTATTGTGGTAAAATATATATAACATTATATTTACCATTCTAACCATTTTTTAAACAATAGCTTATTGATTTTTTTAGAGAGACAGGAAAGGAGAGGGAGACAGAGAGAGAAACATTGATCGGCTGCCTCCTGCATGCCCCGTTGGGGATCAAGCCCGCAACCTGGGCATGTGCCCTGACCAGTAATCGAACCAGCAACCTTTTGGTGCACAGGACGATGCCCAACCAACTGAGCCACACCAGCCAGGCCCATTTTAACCATTTTTTAAGTGTACAGTTCAGTGACATTAAGTCCATTCACAATGTCGCGCAACCATCATCACCATTCATTCACCTCCAGATTTCTTTTTCATCTTCCCAACCTGAAACTCTGTGCTCATTAAACAATAAGTCCCCATCCCCTCCTCCCCCCATCCCCTGGCAACCACCATTCTACTTCCTGTCTCTGTGACTTTGACTACTCTGGGGACCACATATAAGTGGAATCACACAGTATTTGTCCTTTTGTGACTGGTTTGTTTCATTTTGAACAATGCCTTCAAAATGAAGATCTGTTTTTAACACACTCAAAAGGATCCTTCTTATCCCTTCTGATCAAAACACAAACTTGTTGCCTTTAGGTAAACATGGGTAAACAGTGCACTTCGCCTTGATTGGCCTTTGAGAAGTACCTTGTTCTGGGGACTGATAGTTATCCACAGGACCTGGGGCCACAGGAAAGAAAGCTCCCTTTTAGAAAAGCCATTCCAGACACCTGGAGACCTCAACTCTGGCCCACTGATGACCCTACAAGGACAGGCAGTCCCACTGGCTTTCACACAGTATCTGCAGGGTTGAAAAAGGGTTTCTGGAATTTCGCAGAAGGGCTTCACAATGCTAGCAAGGCACAAACATCAGAATAAACTCCAGAGGCATCACTGACCATAAGTTGCAAATGTATCAGCCGTGTACTCTAAGGTCTCTCAGGACCACAGGGGTGTATTCAGAGAAAAGTATCAGGCGAGGTCTGTAATGAAAAAAGAAAGGCTTTCGAGTCAGGCAACACTGGGCACGAATCCCAGATCTGCCACTTAATTTGAGCGGAACCTTGGTCAATTAATTACTTAACGTCTCTGAGCCTCAACTCCCTCATCAGTCAAGAGTGTTACCAAGAGCATGTGCTCTCCTTGTGTCGTAGGATTAAATGAGGTAATGTATCAGAAAAACCATGCAAGTACTTGATGGTGGAAATGATTCCTTCTACTTCTCTCTGCATTAATCAGGCCCACAGTAGAGCGCTATTGGATGGTTTTGTATAGTGAGTTTTAAAAATAATTGACTGGAGATGACCCAGGGAAGGTCATGAAACACCATCAGAGTTGGAAAAGGGGTACAAAGTCAAAAGATAAAAGAACATGGGGGTATTAAGCTTATAATAGAACAATATGAAGAGGTGCTTGACTCCTTTCCAGTGGACATCTCATAAGGAGATGAACAGCCAACTGTTGGAAGTGGAAGTCTTCAGGCTGAAGCGGGAGAGATTAAGATGGGATGTGAGAAGAACCAAGTGCCAGAGTGAAAGAAGACCCAGGGGAGTCCCGAGAAAGGCTCTCCGGTCTGTCCTGGGGGCCTGAAGAGGAGAGCTAGGTGGTCTAGGAAGCAGATAGAAATATAATATGGAATTCCACACAAGGAATTTTAAATCTCCTAGTATACAAAGTAAAAAAAAAAAATAAAGGAGGTGAAATTAACTTCAATGATATATGTTACTTAATCCAATATATCAAAATATTGTTATTTCAACTTGTAATTAACCTAAAATTACTGATGAAACATTTTCATTGTATTAACTAAGTCTTTGAAATGCAGGATGTATTTTACCACCAACAGCACATCTCAGCATGGACTAGCCACAGCCGAAGTGCTCAGAAGCCACGTGTGGCTGGTGGCTACTAAACTGCTAGCACAGGACTAGAGCCATTCAGATGGGGAGGCGGGTGGGAGGGCACAGATGACCTCGGCAGGTCCCTCCCGGCTCCCTGATTCTATATTTAGCTAGCTGCCACCTGACACAAGGCAACCCTTATGCATTCCACTAGGTATAGCCTCCCTTTAAGTCACTCTGGGAGATGAAAAAAGCGCCAACCCTAAATTTCTCATCAATACTTTTTCAGCAAACACCCGGCTTGTTATAAATCAGGAATATGCTTGGGATGAGCACAAAGACTCATCATTAAGCCTAAGTTGCTCGAGAGGCACCGGCAAGAAGCAAAAGGGCCTGAGGGGAAGATGACTCTCTGTCCGACGCCAACACTGATCAAATGTGGTTAGTGTACGCCCTGGAAAAAATGTGTTTAAAAATAAAATTTGGGAACAACCTTGAAGAAAAATTCATGGGGCGAAGGAACTCCCTCACTTTCTGCTAGGTCACTTCCCATTTGGATATTGTACCCTTCCACAAAAGGTCAGTCTAAAAAAAAATCAGCAACAAAAACAAAGCGTAAATAGGACTCAGAGTACAAACTAAATATGTTATGTCCATGCAAGCCCTCTCTGCCTGGGTTCCAGGGGAGCAACAAGCATAGCAAAGAGGAAAGGGAAGCGAGAGGCTGCTGGCCCTGGTCCCTTCCAGGCCTGAAACAGTTCTTCCTCTATCCTTGGGACAGTGCTTGGATGGTGTGGGGCTGTGACACGGCCAGGAAGACAACTATGACTTTTGTTTACCTGCTACTGCCTTCTGAGGGGTAGCTACGCCTCCTGGATCAGACTGTTTCTGTTACTGCTACAGCAGCCAGGCTGCTAGCTAACAGTACCGCATGTTTCCTGTATGCCAGGCACTCTTCTAAGTGCTGTCATATTACTCATTGAACCCTCACAAGAAGCTCAGGAGGTAGGTCCTATAGTCTTATCTTACAAATAAGGACACAAAGAGGCACAGAGAGGTCAAGGAACTTGTCCCAGGTCCCTTGGCTAGTGAGGTGGCTGGAGTATGCAAATTAGCATAAGATGCATAAGGGTTATCATGCTAGAAAAGCTTGGATATGAGCTAAATACATTACTATTTATAGTATATATAATTATATACATACATAATTACATATAAAATTAGTATATGTGTATTATCTTTATAAATATAATAATGTAAATATATCAATAGAGTACATAGATCAGAAGAGTTGGTCAGCTATTGAAATGTAGAAAAAAAAGAATTACAGAGACAATGTAGGTGATACCTATTGTGGTTTTAAAATAGTCTACAATTTCCTTGACACTCCTCTCCAAAAGGTGGAGCCTAATTAATTCCCTTCCCTCTGAGTGAAGACTGGACCTGCTGAGTCACTTCCAGCAAATAGAAAGTACAGTGACAGTGTGTGACTTCATGATTAGGTAATAAAAGGCACTGCAGCTTTTGCCTTGCTCTCTTGGGTTATTCACTCTGGGGGAAGTCAGCTGCCATGCTGTGTGGACACTCAAGCAACCCAATAGGGGGAGCTCTTGGTGGTGAGGAACAGGGACCTCCTGCCAACAGTCAGCACCAACCTGCCAGTAATGTAAGGGAACCATCTTCAGAGCAGAACTCCCAGCACTGGCTCAGTCTTCAGATGGCTGCACTCCAGACAACATTTTGAGGGACCCTGAGCTAGAATCACCCATATTACTAATCCACAGACCGTGTGTGGTAACATGTTCATTGTTGTTTTAAGCTGCTAAATTTTGGGTACCTTGTTGTGTGGCCAAAGATAATTAAACTAATCCACCTATCCAAGTGCCCCTCTAGAAAAAAGGAAGTTTTAGGCATTTGGCTTTCAGTAGTTCAGTCTTTCAGGCAAAGTCATTCTCAATGAGAAATGAACTCATGAAGCTAACCTGTTGCCACTTAGTCTCACTTAACCTCCCTCATCCTGATTATCCCCTCACCAAACCACCTTTGGACTATGATTTCACTTCCCAGGTACCTTCAGGGGAAGAATGAACTGATCACACAAACTGGAGGTATTTCTAGATTCTGTGATGATGATTTTTCAGGGCAACTTAATAGATGGCTTCTGATTATGATCTGGCTCCCTGTCGTGGCCTTGCTGCGCTGATTATATGGACTTTGAGTACATCCGGTCCCTCTGATGATGGCTCCTCCTGGCAAATTAATAAGCCAGCATTGCAGGCTCTACTTCCTTACTTTCTAGTTAGTACTGCATCAATCTCTCAGGGTGAGCATCCCCAGGGCACTGATGAGAGTGAGCATCTCCATCTTCAAACAGAAGCCAGGTCCTACATGTGGGGACTTGATACATAAAGGCTCAGTCCTGCCCAGCTGCCCACTGGCCTTCTTTGTGGCATCCACACCACCTTCCAGAGAGAAAAGAGCTTTTACTGAGATGTGCATTCAATGGATTCTCCTTATTGGAGAAGACCCAAGCATCCTCAAAATTTTCAATTAATTGATCACTTCTGCGAGGCAGTTTCTATTATTATCCACCCCAAAATTGTTCTATTCAGCAGACAGTCTGCCAGAATGGAAGTCCAAGAACAGCAAGGTTCAGTGATGCCAACTCACCTCTATTACTTTCTCTGAATACTCTATTATTTCTTTGGATAAATACCAGAGATGTAAGAGTTTGCTGGATGTTTTACGAGGGTAAAAGTTAATGATTTATAATTTATAAACCAGTGACAAGGAGTAGTAAAAAAATCTTAGAAGAGCTATAATTAAGGACAATGAGGATTAGGAAACTGTCTCAATGATTCTTGGAGTGACAAAGAGTATGTTTAAATGCCAAGTCTGGTATTATTACTACACAATGGTACTACACAACAGTATGTCAATGTTTAAGGGCTCCAGTTGTTAGTAAATTACCCTGAAATTGCTATTTTATTATACCCTTGTTTTCAGTTTAATAACATTTACCATCTCACCAGTGTATTTAGGCAATTTGCTCATGCAAGAAATGTTTGGAAATTAAGTTCACATATACAAGAAGTATATATTAAGTAAATGTGCTAAAAGGAGGGAATACTTGTGGTCTTAAGTGGTCAAATGTTCCTTGGAAGAATTTGTGGTACAAACTCAATCCTAGACATGTCATGTAATAAAGGCTTCTAAACAGTGCAACTCTGCACAACTCAAGGACAGATGGCCAGTGGTAACACCTCACACTACGTATTTGATGAGCTGACAGGGCACCTGAAAAAAAATCAGGGGGAAAAATGGCAAATGCTCATGGCAAACAGTGGGATTCTTGTGTTGGCACCTGTACTTGCCTACTGTCTCCCAAGGCACTTTCTTGTGTTTGAGATGACTAGAGAAACAACCCCATAATTTGGTGGAGCCCTGCAAGAGATGTGGATTAGACCACTGGTGATGGGGGACCTAAATAGTATGGAGTGACAGCTCCTACAGCTACAAGTCGTGCTTAGAGCAGACAAAGGATTAAAAAAATAGGAACCTTCTCCCTATTTCCAAGGAGGGTGATTGCTGGCTTCTGAGATGGGCCCCTGGTTTTCAGGCCCTTGTGTACTCTCTTCCCACAAGGAACCTGAGCAGGTCCACATGATCAAGAGTGTGGAGGTGGTGTTCTGAGACTAGGTCATAAAAGGCATTGCAGCTTCCACCTCACTCTCTCGGTTCACTTGCTCTGGGGAAAGCTAGCCACACTAAGTATGAAGACACTCAGGCAGCCCCGGGAGAGGCCCATGTGGGGAGGAACTCAGGCCTCCTAATAGCAGCCAATACCAACTGCCAGCAATGGGAGTGAGCCACTCAGAAGTGGAATCTCCAGCTTCTGACAACTTCATGAAAGACCTTAAGCCAGAACTACCCAGCTAAGCTGTCCCAAATTTCTGACCCTCAGAAAACTAAGATAAATGTTATTATGTGAAGCCATTAAATTAAGTTTTGGGGTAATTTGTTACGCAGCAATAGTTAACTTGGTAAAAATCACTCAAAATGCTACTACCCCTTGAATTCACTAGAAAAGGCAGGCATCTATGGAGTGGACTCCATGGCCTATTATAACCACTGGAGCTTTCTTTGAGAGCATGAAGGCTGTTAGATACTGGCCATTCATAAGCATGTGACCATCCTCAAAGGGCAAGAACCAGGAAACTCTGGTCCCAACACCTACAGTGACCCACTTGCTGCTCCAGAGGGATCTGGTCATCTCTTCAATGAGGACTCTCCATCTTGGTCACTTTTTTCCTGGGTAGTACTGGCATGCCTGAGTGATCAAGGGGGACTCTTTTGCTCCTGAAGGACCTCAGGCCAACAGTGAATTAGTCCTGAAATGTCAGCTAAGGGCTCAAATTAGGGTTGGGATTGACCTTCAGAGTTCTACCCTTCTCCTGGCCATGACCAACTCTTATAGTCTGAGG